GCTTTCTGGAACATATCTGTGCTGAAGACAAACAGAATGGCAGAATGCCGAAGAAAAGGGAACACCCAGTTCCCAAGATGGGTACAGTTGAAGCCCTCACACAAGCTGCCTTAAAACAAAATGAAAACAACACAACTCGGCTGATCCAATCGCCATGCGATGGGGCTCTTGCATCAGCTGCACCATTCCGAGGGCAGAGCTCCAGAGCTCTGGGAAGGCCCTTTAGGGTCCAGTCCTGTCAGGCAACGGAGTACTGGAGTAGGCCGGAACTGGCCCCTGAATTTCCCTAGTGTCAAACTTGCCCTCGAATTCCAATTCAAGCCCTCTTAAAAGTCCCCGTCCTCTGGTCTCCAGAGTCATGAGCCCATTTTCTCCAGCTTCCCACAGCCGTGAACTTAGCTTAGAGCAAGACAGGAAAACTCACAAAACACAAAAACACTTTCCCATTATTAAGAACAGAGTAGGTTTCTGTGAGTAGAACAAGTCCTCTCAACCGAAACCCCGCGATGCCTTTTAGAAAAGTTTCTTTCGTCATCATGTATGTCGGCAAATGCAGAAAATAACTATATAAGCCTAACAGGAGCCATGTGCCTGGGATGTCTTGCTCGCAGTAACACACTGGCTGTTCCAGGGAGCACTTGTAAGGCAACCTCTGAAGGCCGATCTTGGAGGAGGGCAGCAGCCCCCGGACTGACTATGCGCGGCTTTTGAAGTCCGGTCCCCCATGTCTGTTCTTTTGCTCTTGGAGGGGTCGCAAAACTAGATGCATTTCTCATTGCAAACAAGCAAAGCAGGGTGGCTCATAGAGCAAGACTCACATGCACACTGCCGCCCATGGCCGAGCCGCTGGTACTGGCGAGCAGTAGCCCTTAGCCTGTGCCTAAAGACAAGATGCCGCCTCGGAATTCCAAAAACCCAAATCCCCACCCCTTACTAGGGAACTTGAACCACATCAAGTCATGATGCAAAAAAAGAACATAATAAAACACCCATAGCTAACGTGTAAATTCAAAAGATCCTTGGAAATCGAAGTTTTAAAAGAGTACACTTAAAAGGGAGTAAGCCGGTTGGAAAGGGAAACCAAAGTCACCTCTGCTCTACTTAACGAGAGGAGAAAAAGACCTTGCAACTGATACTACATTCTGTTCACCTTCATAATGTTCAAACCACAACCTACTAAGCCCTACTTGTCAATAATATGGGAAGATCTGGTTGCTCTGATATTTGAAATTCTTTTTTTTCATACTTTAAAAATCACATTCCTTTGGTGATGTCTAGTCAGGAGGTGTGACTGAAGTTTGTTTTGAACAAATGTTTTTAGCTGTTAGGTGTTATACTGTAACTGAGACCTTTCCAACTACTGCTTAGGAGAAGACTTTTGTAAATGCCTGTCTTAATTGCAAGAAAAACATCCGTTCCAGGTTATTTTCTTATTGATCTTCTGAGTGCACATCTCTTATTACCATGGTTGTGAGATCGTTTAAGAAACAAATTATCATTTATAAACAGACTACAGAATCAAGTCACATATGAAGAGTGCTTTATGATAGTTCAGACATTGGTAGGAAATCAGAGGACAATTCGTGTTTTTTACTACTCCCCCTAAAATATGCTGAAATCGAACATTTGCAACCCACATAACTGAAGATACAGCGAAGAAAACTGTAACTTACTACATATTGAATTCATTTCAATCGCAGTAGTCTATTTTAAAAACAAACTCCCATAAGGAATACAGGAATGGAATCCATTCAAAGCAACAGCTGTCAAAAGTTCTGCCAAGAAACTCAGAGTAATTTATTGCATCATGAAAGGTGAGGTGTTCAGAAGAACAAATAGTTCAATCATACTCTTTCCCTTCAAATTTCATTTTTTGCTTCAATCTAAGAGGAATATCTAGATCTAAAACTCACTGAAACGTGTTTTCATACTTTAAAACTTACTAAGTAAATAAAATTCAACATGGTAAATAGAAGAAACCCTTCTAATCTATTTTTAGTATTGCTAGAGGCTGGAGGACTTGACTTAGAATCCCTAAGATCAGCTGGCATCCCAGCTCTGCCACTAGTTACCTCCTCCTATGGATTCTCGGGCTAGAAAGTGTGGCTTCCCCAAGAGCAAACTGCAGGAGACGGGTCCAAGTCCTCTCCGCTCGGACATCCCATTCTCCAATGAGAGTAAAATGGGCTTCCAGCCAAGATGTCTCCTCTCCCGATCAGGCCCGAAGCACCTCTCTAATATTTATAAAGCGGTTAGATCTGTCCAACTAAAGCGAATCCAAGTATCTGCCTTGATCACAACACGCACTTCCATTCCAGATATCCACCTGCTTTGGCTTCATATCTAATGGGCAGGGAGGGGGCAAAAGCAGTAGGCCACATACAAGGCACATGAGGGTACCTGGAAGCCTGCTGTCAATTCCTGCTGCGCTTCCCGCTTTGGGGCACCAGGACCCTATGGAGGAGGACCACTCAACAAGCAGCTTATTAAACCTCCACGGACGGGGGGCAACACCGACCTTCTGTCCATTGAATTCTGCCCAACGAGCAGGTCCAATTTGGGAGTGGTTTTATAGAAGAGGGCTAACGGTGACTTCACCAACTCAGCCTTCCTACAAGTCACATTAAAGGCTCACAGGAACATTAACAGGAGTTATAGTCCTACATTAAAAGTGCACATCCTAAGAAAACAGAGGAACAGAAGATGAGCACTAGTCGGGTAATCATAATAGTGTGTACTTGTTTTCTCTTTTAAAATCCACTTCTGAGCAACTAATAAACTGTGGTCACTGTTAAGTGCAGTCAAGAAAGCTGGGCATAGACATTACTGATGTGGGCTTTAACGCGGCGCTCATCTTAAAATACGGGTGACGCTATGTGACTCATGGGGCTTTAACTGTCCAACGCGAGTTTGTTCCTTTAATGAAAACCAAGCCAAGTAAACAAAACCCGAACATCCTAATTTGTCTCACTGCGGCATGGACTGATTGGGGAAAAACATCTCAATATTTCTTAAATGTAGAATAGTGACTAACATTCTTTCATTTGTGTGCCTGCTCAATGGCTATGCGGCGCTATCTCGAGTGAGTGTGTATGTCCTGGAAGATTATGAGATGCAGTGCCAATGTCAGTCTTTCCTGGATGGAACATAACAAACGGTAATCATGCTGTCAAATGTGTGCAACGAGGACACTTGATAAAATTCCTTACAGCCCCCAGGTCTCAGAACATGGGAAAGGAGGTTATCTAAAAAATTTGCACCGCCCATTTATAATCTTAGGAAGGGTTTTAAATGACTCCAAACCCCTCCCCAAGGGGCAGAAAAGGCAACCAAAAGGGAAGGAAAGGGAGAACAGAGAAACAGTTCAACTTTTTGATTTTCAAAATCAAATCAATTCCAAATCATCCTTTAATACACACAGAATAGAACCACCAACTTATTTTTCTTCGGGAAAACATCATCTGTTTGAGCCTTTCTCTTCTGTTATTAAGCTATTGATAAAGCTGGCAAGTAAAATAAGGAAGCATTAAATAAACACCCACTTATTCTAAGAGCCGTCAACCTACTGAAACCGGAGGCTTGATCCCACATACCGCAAACCCATCCTAAAGCACTTCAGAAAGGACCGTAGGCACACCCCACCCGTCTACTCTAAGATATGGGTAAATTAGTAAAATGCACAAGAGACGGTATTTCTTATAATCAGTCTCTCAAAGTGATGTTAAAGCAGGCATGCCCTGACCCCTGTGAGGGTCGATCGATTCCCACTTTGAACTTGAGCTTTCAGGGGGAGCAGGTGATCAAAGTTTCTACAGCATGCTGGCTTCTGCAATTTGAGCTCATGGTTTTACATCACACACGCTGGAGTCAGCTGGGCTCCGCTGGGCTGTACATAAACCAATCACTTCCCCAGGGTGCACTTCACACAGAACGAACAGCTGTACCCCCAGAGTGAAGATGGGGTTTCTTTCATTATTTCTTTGTACTCAATACAATCACAATTCAGGTTAAAATAACAGGGACAGAAATAACTCCCAGAGTTGTTGGAGTGCTGGTAACAACCAGTTCCCCTTATTCCCCAGGTTGAATACCTGGGTTCAAGCAACAAATATTTATCAGTCCAAACAATCTCTTCAGCCTTTTGCATCTGACGGGCGGTTTCCAAATACATGCATTTACAGGTATGTTATCCCATGCAGGATAAAAGTAGAGATCTGGCAACTATTTGTTCAATTTAAGCGGGTGAGGCAGTTAAAAAAGCAGATTGCTCTTGCACAAAAATTTACATGAAAGGACCGAGTTCTGTGAGCTGATGGCCTGGCTGGGCCAAGTTAAATAGATCACTGACAAAACTTCCACTTTACAGAGGTGCAAAGACCCAATAAATCTCTGCCATCCAACGGAAAACAATAGTTATGTATTATTTATAGCTAGATACAATGTCAAAATGGCACTAAGAAGCAGTTTTGGCATATGGTGGCAGAGGGCACAGCGCCAGTCTAAATCTGATGCTTTTGTTTTAGTTTTTGTTTTTATTATCATCATGCCAAAGACTATCCAGTTGGAATCCCAATTATTCAGGAAACCAACCTACTGTATTTGATATACATACAAAAATAAAACAAGCATCCTGAAGGTACTAGGTTATGAGGTTTTATACAAATCATAAATTCTTTAAATAAATAATGCTCTAACTTGTTTTCATTTGCTAGAAGATTGGTTTTTGGTAAGGAGAAACATCTAACAACTTGAGGACGTATTTAAGAATGTGAGATAAATTCCACTGATAATTACAATTTCAAGTGTGATACCTGGTTGTATTTTTTCCACCAGAGTAAAAGGTACAAGTGAACTACAAGAGAAAAGGAAATATGGATTATATTCTGCCGCTCACAGCTTTTCACACAGTCTTGGACATCTATGACAAGTAGTTGGGTTGAAACATTCAAAGGAAAGATCTTGGCAGAAAAAGTCGCCCACTGTTACTTGAATCTTGGGGATTACAACACAGTGACTGGACGAAGTTGTTCCAATTGGTTTTCCAATGCAATCCGTTCTTGATGAACCTCCTGATTTGTACAAAACAGAGAGAAGAAAACAAAAAGCAAAGGGGTCATTTCCTGGGTTCATCCCTACTTCATCAGATTTTAAACAGAAACTCATAAGTGGACCCCAAAACACTGAAGTCCCACATGACTCAAGGACAAGTAGACTGTAAGGCATCATATTTAAAGCTGGTGATCAGACCAAGGCGGCTTCACAATTTGTCATCTCTCAACTCCCTTCTGAAGATGAGGAAGTGAAATTGACTGACACCACCCCCGCCTTAATCTCACCAGCAGTTTTAATAGGATTAATGACTGGCAGAAGATGATGTTAAAAATCAACAGACAGACTGGGAGAGAGCAGAAAAGCAAAAGCAGACTGCTACTACTGAGAGGGAAGCCAGCAGGACTCAATTTCTAGCTTCAATCTCTCGTTCCTAATCCAGCACCACACTCCACAGGTCTGACGGATGAGCAAATGCACTGACTATCTGCCAAAATCTCATCTTGGCTCCTGCACAAAATACAACTTAAGGTGTGACTGCATGGCTAATGGCAGGGAGAAAGAAAGAGAGGATCATCCATCTGCTATTTGGGAATTCAAACTTTCAGCCCTAAAACAGATTTATTGGCAGGAAGAGAGGGGGACACGTAAAGGCATTCTTAAGTACAATCAGTCGAGATGGGAAAGACCTCTGTATAAAGGCTCAATTCTGAGATGCCCCAGAAGAACCAACATATTAACAGTCCAAACAGAACTCAACAAGCGTTTGTTCACCCTCCCCTCCTACCCAGCCATCCAACAGTTCTTTGAGTATCTATCTACTATGGGCCAGATTCTGCTCTAGGTATGATAGTACCAGCAAAGAACAAGACAGATCAGACCAATGCCCTCACAGGGCTTGCACTCAAATGGCTAGAGAAAGACAATAAAGAACAAGATACCTTCAAAAGGAAAGAAATAAGATGACGTAATAGAGGAATCTGGAAGAAAGGTGGAGTGGGTGGTCAGGAAAGGCTTCACAGAGGTGACGCTATCTGACCAGAGACTTGAATGAACTGAGGGGTGAGCCATATGAAGACATGGGGGAAGGATCCTTAGGGAGACAAAATGGCAACTATAAAGGCCCCAAAGTGGGGCGGGACAAGCTTGCTGTGTTTGGTAACAGAAGGGCCTGTGTGACCAGAGGAGAGGGAGCAAGGAAGGCACTGGCAGGAGCTGTAGTCTGAGAGTTAGGCAGAGACCTTGTGGACAGAGTAAAGAGCGTGGACATCATTCACAGTACAGGGGGATAGCACTGTGGGTTTTGAACCAGGGAATGCATGTGGCTTAACTTAGAATTCAAAATATTCACTCCGGCTACTGTGTAGATAGTGGATTGGACAGCAGGGCAAAAGCACAGGCAGGGAGTAGTTGCAAGGTTACTGCATGGACCGAGGTGAGAAATGAAATGGCTTTGATCAGGGTAGCAACCATAAAGATGGGGAAAACTGGATGAATTCTGGATACATTTTGAATTTAGAACTGATAGGACTTGCTGATAATGTAGGAAAGAAGGAAGGGGATTTGGGATTGAGCAAGTGGGTAGCTAGTAGTGGTATTAATTGAGAACAAGATTAGATGAGAAATCAGCATTTCAAAGGGAAGGTTGGGAAGGAAGCGTCTGACATGTGTACTGGATGTATTAAGAGAGAATGGTGAGTAAGCAGTTGTGATAGTACGTCCAGGGACCAGAGGTAAGAGAAGGAGAGCTGGAGACATAAATTTAGGATCACCAGCCTATGGATGATCTTCAAAGCCTTGAGACTGTATAATACCATCTAGCAAAAGAATACAGACAGGTTGAAGGTAAAGATGCAACTGAACACACATACCACACTCATTCCCTACTGGAACCCCACCAAGACAATAAAAAGAAGTTTTTGAAGTCACAGACGCACAAGAACAAGTGATACAAATAAAATTTGTAAGCTGGAAGGCCAACAGATGACTTAGCAATTCCAAGAAAAATAAATGTGGGCATTCCACGGCTGCATGGTGGGGTCCTTCCATAAGGTGACCCAAACACCCCTCTGTTCAAGGGATTCTGCATCTGTAAACTGAGTCAGTCCAGAATGGACTGAGAGGCTGGGACTAAAGCTCCATTTTGATGGTTCTTCAGATTTCTGTTCACTAGGACTGGTACGTTTCCACTCCTACAAATCAAGTACAGAAAACTGAAATGCAAGCTAAGCATAGGCACAAAACAAGAAGCAACCTGATTTTACAAAGAAGAATCCCTGAAAGACTCAAACTGGCAGCACCAGATTCCTGCGTAGGTGCAAGTGAAGGGAGGAGGAGGACCGCCTATGTAAATGCTGGTTCCAAGTCTGCTTCGCAAACAGTTAGCTCCCTACAGCGTTCCAGCTACCAGGCCACAACCTTAAGATTTATTTCTTGCAAAGGGACAACATAAGGCCTCTTGACTAGCAGTACAAAGACCCAGTTGAGGACAAGATACTGGACTGGAACTAGGGAGAATAAATGAATGAATATCCAGGATACAGAGACCCAGAGCCCTCTCTCTCCAATGAACCAAGTCTTTCCCTCCATGTAGGAGACCAAAAAAAGTCTCTTCTCTGGAAACTCCAATCAGATTAAACAGAAAGAGCCAATGATACTGCCTTAGGAGGCTCCCCAACTATGCAGCCCAACCAGACTGAAGACTGAAGCTCAAAGTTGACAAGCCTCACAACATGCTATGTGTTTCCAGTGAGCATTTTTATCCTCCTCCTAAATATAAGCAAAGGACCATCAGATACTGAAGGAAAGCATCTAATGAGAAATAGCTAATAAAACAGAAAAGCAAGTATTCAGGAAGAAGAAAACTAGTACCATTAATAGAAGATATTACAATAATGAAATGAAAATAGGATACCTTTATTTTTTTTTTTTACATTTATTTTTGAGAGACAGAGTGAAAGCAGAGGAGGGGCAGAGAGAGAGGGAGACACAGAACCCAAAGCAGGCTCCAGGCTCTGAGCTGTTGGCACAGAGCCCGGTGCAGGGCTTGAACCCACGAACCCCACGACCTGTGAGATCATAACCAGAGTAAAGTCGGACGCTTAACCAAGTGAGCCACCCAGGTGCCCCAAGAATAGGATACCTTTAAAGAGACAATCAGAGTACAAAAACTGAACTCTTGTTATTAAACAACAGACTGAATATTTAAAATTAAGTAAGTTTCCAGAAATGGACAAAGAGACAAAAATAAAGAACAGAAAGAAAACAGATGAGAAAATATGAGAAAATTAGAGGACCAAGCTAAGAGTTCCAATGTCTGAAAAATACCAGCAAGCGAGAAGAGAGAAAACGGACAGGGGAGTGGGATGAAAACACGTGGAGGAAATGTGCAACAATAACAAAAACCAAGAAAACTCCCAGAACTGAAGAATATGGGTTTCCAAATCAAAAGGGCTTACCGAGTACAGAGAACAAGTAGACAAAAATCATCTACACTTTCAAAGCAAAGTAAGAGGAGAGAAAAACAGCAAATAAAACACAAAACAAAAACAAGGTCACATACAAAGATTCATAAAACAGAGTGAAGTCTGACATTTTAAAAAATTATTTTTTATTACATGGTAAAAGTGACTTTTTTAGTGTACAGTTCTATAAATTTCAACACATGTATGTATTGGTGTAACTACCACCACAAACAGGGTACGTTACAGTTCCAACCAGAAAGCTCCCTGGTACTACTCCCTTATCTATAAACCCTCACCTTCATGCACAACCCCTGGCAACTACCAGTCTGTTTCCCAGCACCTATGGTTTTGTCTTTTCAAGAATGTCAAATACAAGGGAACAAGCAGTGTATAACCTTGACACTGGCTTGTCTCACTCAGCATAATGTCTGAGCTTCACCCAACTTGTGGTGTGTGTCACTACTTTTTTTTTTTTTTTAATTTTTTTTTTTTTAATTTTTTTTTTT